GATTGGTCGATCGGCCAATAAAATCACGAGATGATCAACAAAATCTAACCAATCACAATAAAAGTTCGCTATGCTATATAGACATAACCATATAAGTATTATATTAAAATTTGTATAAATATCTGTATTTGTTACAGAAAAAAAAATCAAAAAGAAAATAGCTCTTTACGCGTTTATCCGAACCACACTATTTAGTATAAGTAAAAATCACTTCCAAATCAAGTAATTACATTCACTCGGTTCAAATTTAGTAATTTATGAGCTCCAGTATTGCGGTAGGCAATGTCTAAAGTTAATATACGGAAAGGGCGGAGTGCACGTTAAAAAAAATTCCGTACATTAAAGATCAACAATATATGCGCAAAGTACAAATGGTTTAATTATAGACGAAGTGCGCACATTAAAATTTCTAAACTCATTTATGTTTTTGAGCAATTAGGTTAGTTAGATGCATAATTAGGTACAAAATAAATTATATTTATCTTATTACCTATTTAACGAAAAACTATTTGGAACTATTTGCTATTATATAATTTGCATGCATATACATTTGAGTTTATCACACAAGTAATTTATTCACCCTTTTAAGAAACAATTTACAACCAACCATTATAAGATTAGAGTTAGAGTTAGAATTAAAATAGAATTAGACTTAGAATAAAATTTCATAAGAATTATTCTTTGCTAGGACCTTAAAGATGGTTTTATTAGGTTCTATTAGCAAAATTTTATAATTTTATAATGTGGATGAGGAATATAAAAAATCTACATGGATGTGAAATAAATATTCTCTATTTTTAAAAAGTATAAATAAGTATAAATTACGCAGTCAATATTATGTGCACAGTTGCACTAAGGATCTATATATAATTTGTGGAATTTATGCTGAATTTCAGACGCAAAATACTATGTCAATAGTTTATTCTACTACAAATTAATTCTTAAACTAATAAAAATTATATCCAATTAAAGGACAAATAAAAGTAAATTCGGTGTTTATTCTCCTCGGAATGAAACAGTATAACTCCTTGATCCTGTTCATAAATTATAAAGTACAGCAGGAAACAGAATATATCATTTAAGCTCTAAAACTATTTCTATTTTTTATTACGATATACATTCTCGTTGTATGCTCAGATTGATTGTAAAAAAAAAATATAAGCTTATCTTTAAATCAAAGATTAGGAAAATTAAGATAATCAAACATCAATCAGTGCTCAATTAACAATTAAACAAAGAGCTAGCGCTAGTGTGGCTTAATGTTTACGGAATTCATAAAAATCATATACTATAAAAATTACAGAATTAATTGACTAATATGGAGATTTGTTTAAAGCTTATGAATTAAAAAATGAATTCACATGACTAATTATCATGGTGAATACCAGAACCCAAGTAATCTTCGTGTAACGTGATCCAATACATGGTGTGATTGGGTTTTGCATGATCTGTAAAAAAATTAACAGTGAAGCAATAATTATTGTTGCAGCTGGTGTTGAAATTGGCTGATGCTGAAATTTTGACTTATTTTATTATGAAATTTTAAAATTTTTTGGGCCTTTGGTTAGGTTATTTTTAGGGATAGGTTTGGGCTTAGGGTTAATGTTGTTAGTAAAAAAGTATATGTGAATTTTAGTAGGTATTATAGATTTAAATGGGACCCTAAATTTCAGAATCAGCCGCGACAATTATTAATATATAAGGTCATAATTTTCCAAGAGAAACCAGAAAGTTTGGCTTCTAAATAACTTTTAGTTAAGAAACCGTGTATCTGTATTGTCTTCGCTTTGATGGTAGCACCTATATGATACGGAAAAGCCAAGCGTGAAAAGAGATGCTTAGAATTAAATAAAGTAGTGTATTTCAGAAATAAATAAATATAAAAAATCTTGTTGGAGGTTTCAGAATTAATAATTCGACGTCCGATTTCAAATAAAGTACAAATTATATTTTTTAAAGTATGTACGTACTTATTTACATGGTCGCTTACCGCCGAATTTTTATCAAAAAAAGCTAATCATTTCGGCGGATTGGCGGAATTGGACCTTTTTTAGATCATCTGAATTTGAACCCTATTCATTTTATTAATCATTAATAAAATATGTCATTCTCTGATATACTAACTGATATCCGTATAATTATTATTACCCTTAAAATGATTAATTTGGGGTCTGATTAAAAGGGCCAATTCCGCCGATCCGCCGAAATGTTTTATCACCGACTACGCTTATTTAATTTTCTGATTCTGAATTTAAAAAAAGAAACAGGGTTTTTTAAACTCCCACTTACTTTCTTAATTTGTTTGTCCATATATATTTATTGATGACGCGTTTATCTACAAATTTAGTCTATTATGTTAAATTTTTAGAAAACTCGGCACATTGTGCCACGTGCGGTGCTAGTTGTAAATACTGTACATTACAATATTATAGTATATCTACAATTAAAATATTAATCTAATTGGCAAAAAACAGTCCAAAAATTTTAAATTTATTTATTTATCACGTAGTTAGCGGATTAAACCCAGAAGATGATCGAATCATGTGATTGAATTATTTACAGTATTTGATTTTATTCGAGTTACGTATTCGAGTTACGAAATTAATATTTAAAAATATTTAATTCACGAACAACTCGTGAGTTAAATTTCATGATTCAAATAATAATATCACGAGTTGATGAGTCCAGCCACTAGGTTAGGTATTTAGGGTGCTCTCAAGCAACTCTTTCTATATTATTGGCGAATGTTAGAGATTGTGCACAATTACTACATTTTACAGCCCTATGATAAAAAAATGTGGTCTCTGACCATATTATTTTTCGTCACGATAATAAACCCGCTCGGCTAAAATGATTTCCAAATACGTAAATTCTCTAAATACCACCCAGGGTAAACTTACGAAATTTGGCCTAAATTAGGCTTAATCCTCATACCTGCTATTTTGAGAATTTACGGTAATTAAAAATCGAGCCTTGACCTATAATTTAAGTGCTTGAGAGCACCCTTAAATTAGAGTTAAACCTATGATTATACATAAGATTGGATTCTATCTGGGATAAATCATAGGGCTAGACAAATTTATAATTATTAAAAAAAAAAAAAAAGGTTGAAAACTCTTCCATAAGAATTAACAGCAGTCAGTGAATCGTGAGTTACGTTATAAGTGCTCAATGACACAGCTTATAAAATTAATAAAATCACATAACATACTAAATTCTATTTTCAGAAACTTGAACTAGAGAAGCCGTTCTCTTGATAATCCAGGTTATTCACAATTCATCTAATGAAATAATCGAGATTTAATGGCTACCGAGTAATCAACTGCAAATATTAATATTGTTACAATTTTTCTATTTCGGATCGACAACAAATGATAATAAGTGTCGCAGCTGATGCTGAAATTTATCACTTCTAAGACCAATTATATTCTTTATTAACGACTCTAGCCCTAATTCTTAGTATAATCTAACTCTCATTCCTAGTATATTGAAATTTCATAATAATTAGGACCAAACTTCAGCATTAACCGTTCCATATTATACCAAATTCAACGTCCGATTTATTCAAATTTAGCACACGAATGTCTATAAGGCACCTATAGTGTATGACTATTCAAAAAAATTCGAAGTCAATTTTTTTAATTATACACGAAACATTAATTTTAATTTTAAAATAAAAAAGTATGTAAACCATTGAAAGTTTATGAAATGGCTTTAAATAATTAGTGTGCTTCATCCAGAGCGTTCTTATTGATGACCAAGTTTCTGAAGATTGATAATTAGCTAAATATCAATATTTACAAAAGAGTCAGTTTCATTGAATTGTGGCAGGTCTTGATGACTAAATAAATATTCATTAGGACAAATTTGAATAATTTGGTTGAATTAATTATTACACACCGAATTGTATTGCATTGGAAATCTTTAGAATTGACACGTTCTTTAAGCTCTTTAAACCGATTATTTTCTTCAACCTGAAACACCAGGAAAACATAGTCTACATTAATGCCTTCAAGCCTATTCGTATTAGCTTAAGTGATCCAATTAAAACATGAATTATCATTAAAGCTATATTATGTTGTAAGCAAGTTCTATCAACTTGATGAGGCAAAGATTTCAAAAGTTGAAAATATCTCAGACTAAAGCATATTTAACGATGTTATTGCTGATCCTCCTGGTCGGTTATAAGTATGTCCAGTTTCAGGCTTTTTATAAAAAATCTAAAAGTATACGTGTTGTTTTATAATAATTGCTTGAGCACAAATGTGAAAATGATGCCACTGATCTTGTGATAGGGTATTGTTGATTTGATTATAGTTACATTTACGCCCTTCGAAATTTTATTTGACCATTCATTAACGGCATTGAGAATTTTATGGTACTTTTGATTATAGGTAAGAAAATTATTTGGCACTCATTTTGAATCCTGTTAATACGAAAGTTCGTGTTATGTGGCGGATAAATTTATGGCTAGTCGATAATAGAAAATAAAATGAGATCTTAAAATATCGTAATAAAACTTATTTAGGCAGAAGAGATATATATATATATATAAAATAACAAATATCTATCATCTTACGCAAAATCTCTATTAATTTTAAGCAGATATTGATTCTGATGTGTTAAAAGATTGTGAACAAAAAAATTGTTAGAGTATAAAAATTAATAATTCGATTTTTGATTGTCCGATGTGCGTCATTTAATAATGTCATATAACGTCGAAATTTTACCTCAGTTGTCAATTTAATTATGTAATCAAATGATAAATTACAGATTCGTTTAATTATATATTTTATTGATATAAAAATGTTTGTTACAGTTAAAAAAAAGTCAAAATGAAATCAAAACTAAAAGGCTAAATATAAGTATGTGCGTAATAATAAAATTCAATTACGTAATAAAATAGTTAAAATTTTAAAAATTTAAAAATTTCGTTGTTAAAATGTAAGATTAAAATTTAAAATTTACTGTAATTATATATTATAATATATAATCACTTACTAGAAGGTTTGAGAATATTGTTATTTTCAATATATGATACTACCTCTCGTGGACACAAATGTTTTCAATCATTATTTTCATTTATAATCATGTTACAAATTCTTCTGAAGTAATTGCATTATAATCTATATAGATTATTTCATTTTTGGATGTTTCCTTGTTATTTTTTTTATATAATTTGTCTAATTTTTCTTTACATTCTTCTTTCCATTTTGGATTTCTTGTTTCATTTTCAGTATTTTTCTCAATAATAATTGATCCATGAACTTCTAAATTGTCAATGTTTAAATTCTTCACTTCTTCATTTAAAATATAATCTGATTCATAAAAGTACATAACTTTTATTGATTGTGTATTTTTGTTAATTTGATGAGCTTGAGAAACATCATAAGTTTTTATCCAAGAAAATTTGCTTGTAGCAATATTTAACTTTTCTAAATGTTCTTTATTATCTTGTTCTGTTAAATTTAATAAGATATATCCATTTATTATCTTATAATTGTAGTTTGTTTCTAAATAGTTTTTTACTTTTTGAAGATTTTCTAAATATTGATCATCAATAAAATTCAATGATTTATTTAAAAGTAAAACAAGTGAATGTTTTACAGGTGAAAAACTAGTTGTTTGTATGTTCATTTTTGATAAAAAACATTTTTTAAATAAAAAATTATCAAAAAAATTTATAATAAAAATGGGTTTAAATTTTTATAAATAGGCTTGTACAAGATAAAAAAGCAAATAAAACCTTTTAAAAAATTTACGTAAATTTATAATAATATTTGAAAATCATGCAATTCTTATAAACCAATTATACAGAACAAAAAATTTCTTGCATAAACCGGTATAAACAGTCTTGTGCATAAATATAAATATAAATTATTAAGTATTATATTACGTATTTAGACTACGTATGACTATCAAAGTTTAAATGAACCATCGGATATTCATAAATATATTCCATTTTGATATTTACCATCCAGCTGATAACAATAATAGTACCCAGCCATTGTAATGATGAATATCTCTACTTATTTTTACATGCTATCGCTATTATTCTAATCTATGATAATAAATACATCCTTTCCCGTAAACGAGTACCCCAACCTATGGCTTTAGTATAACCTATGGCTTGGTCACAAGTACATCCAGTACTATTGTACAAACTCGTTATATTATAGTACATAATACTATGTATTATTTTGCATACGTAGCATAATACGTACGTACTATATTAAACTTTAAATATATTAAATATTTGAGTTTGTACAACGTAGTAAATGATATTAATGTGAAACACTGAATTCTTGTACTTTCGATGTTACAATAAATTTTTCCCTGGCAATTGTTTAAAAATACAGGAATGCCTTCTTCGATATGTTTCATCATTGTAATTATAGCAACCTTAAACCTTCGATCGGTCACATATTCTTAGATTAAATTATAAATTCTACGTAAATACAACGAATGAACTTTTGTATCGGTATAGAATTTAACCTGAAATTATAGCTACGGCGCACTCCTAACTATTTCTGTCATGTAATATGATATGTCGTACTTAGTTATAATTTTATCCATGTACTACCAATAATAAACTTTTTAAACACTATATTGGGATTTTCAAAATTAAAATCGGAGAATCCTATTTCATTTTTCCGATTTATAAACATAGCAAAATTTCTATTGAAAAAATCCTATCATTTTCAAATTGTGCACTTATTTTTAATTTTGATACCCCATTATCGTTAAATAAAAATAAAAATAGTATTCGTTAAATAAAAATAGCATTTTCTTAACTGAAGGGTTACATCTAAAGAACGAAAAATAGACATCCTCGTTTAAATTGTTAGAACTGTCATCTTTAAATAAACTATTCCTTCTTACGTATTATCTTTTTATTGATAGTTTGTCGTTGCAGTATTTTGTAATGGCTAATTATGACTTGGATAGACTACTGCATTTTTATTATGCACATAATTCACTATAATGAATTCTAGCAATTCATTTTTACTCTTATATTAATATAGAGGATCAATAGCAGAGACTGCATTATAACTATTAGAAATTTTACGCCCTTGACAGGGACGAACCGACAAAATCGTTTGCGTACTTAAAATTATTTACGAGTACTTTACATTAATTTGAATATATTTAAACCTTATACATGACGAGAAATTTACTAATTTTTTGCTTTTTAAATATTTGTAAAGTACAGTCAAACAGTCAAACGCATTGTAACGGGACCATTTATAAACATTTAGTTAAAGAGGTAGTGATAAAAATCTATAGCATTATATACTGTATTAGTTGATCCAAATGACGTAGTGTATTTAGGGGATTTTGTAATATCTAATTATCATATGAACATACAGTATGTCAAAATACGGTGTGATACCGGCCTGACGGTAGGCACGTGAACACGTGACCTCGGGAAGCCCAAATTAGGGGGCGTCTAAGGCGGAGGCAACTCATATTTAATATTTTTTTCAATTAATTTTGGGGTTATGTTAGGGTTTGGTAGTTGTATATAAGCAAAATTGCCTTCCCGACATTTTTGATTAACCTACGGTAGGTGTAGGTTAGACTGTCGTGCATTAACCATAGTAATAGCTGCCGCAACAAATTTGGACCGGCAGATCCTCGATTTTGATTGGCTAAGAGCGACGATAAAAAGATTAAGCCGGAATTACTCATAATTTTACTAATGAAATCATAGCCACCCATTAAATAAAAATCGTTCCTGGGCCAATTTTACCATAACGCGGGCTTATTTCTATTTTTGTAATAAAAAAATTAAAAAGTTAATTCCAGCCGGGAATTAGTAACCAATTTTGTAATGTAGGCCAAAATTTCGAAGATCCTCGGCCGTTAGCCAATCAAAATCGAGGATCTGCCGGTCCAAATTTGTTGCGGCAGCTTTGCTTCGCCGGCGATCATCAAAATTCTATAATTTGATTGGATGTTGATCACATGATTTGCCTCAGTCCCTGATTATTTTCTACAGGGGATTCCCAAATTAGGGTTTACCGGTGCTCTAATTTTTCTTTTTTTAGTTAGTATCGGTATCATTATTTTATCGTTTATTTTATGTACTTCTTATTTTGGTATAGTGGCATAGTTACGAGTGATAATAACCCTCAACGAGGGATAATAACCCTCAGCGAGGGATTAAAACCCTACACGAATTAAGATATATAAGGGTGTGGTTTCAGTCTGCGAACAGTAGTTAATAGTATTTGAGTATTATTGTAATATATTCCGATGTATTGATTTATGCTAATAAAGAGAAACCTTAACCTGTAATTATGTGTGTTAGTTTATCGGTTTAAACTATTTAACCTCGACCACTATTTGTTCACGATCGAAGCTAAATTGATCTAAGACCCTATAAGCTCTCCCACCGATCGTAACACTGGTCATAAATCCCAGATAAACCAGGTCAGGCAGATAATTCAGAACGGCCAGAACTGGACAATTAGATAATTTGTGAATCTTAATAATACTGGCTATAAGACCAATATGGGATTTTTGATGATTATAAAGATATAAATGATTCCTGCGAATGTAAAAACAATTATAAATAAAGGCCCTTTTGTCTCTTCGGGAAGAATAACTCACGCCTTTGCTTTATTAACAATTCACACAATCATACAAATATCAAAATAAAACTTACAAAATAATACATAAACCAATACACTCGCTAAAGTAGTTACCTAAACCATCCGCTTAACCGTTCGCCAAACCTAATTTTCGGTTGCACGAAGCTACTATCATTCTGGCGAAAGACTCGCCGATTTTAGGATTGTTAACGTATTGCTAATTTATAATTCATTTTAATCATGTAAATGGAATGTAGAGGGTATGAAATAGCAGAAAATAGATAATTACAAATGTAAACTTCAAAGCCACCCGCAGTTTTTTTTTATTTTATTTTTTTTTTGGAAATAGCAACCGTACCGTTACGAAATTAAACACACCCCAAAATTACAGTTGTTCTCATAAATTTTGGGACAAACTAAAAATTGTAGTTTCCCGAAATCTCTTCGGTTTCGTCCTAAAGGTCACCTAACTCTTCTGAATCACATCATTGATTTCGGAACTTCAGTCCGGAGATAGCTATGTATTTTCCGGAGAGTTAGATGATTCATAGGACGAAACCGAAGAGATTTCGGGAAACTTAGTTTGTCCCAGAATTTATGAGAACAGCTGTAAGCACCACAAAATTTGCATAATATCCGAGTCGTATCCAGTGTTCGAAATTTCAGGCTTAAGGCCGTTTGAAGTTAATTATTCGGTAACATCACTTTCCAGGACTCTCGGAAGAGGGGGCAAATGAAATAAACATATAAAATGAATAACCTAATTTTTATGTAGTAAATCTATTATAACGAATTGACTTCAAGTAAATTCAGTTTAGAGATTCTAGTTGAGTTGCTAATTAGGTCAAATAAATTTGATTCAATAATTAACATCGCATTCCTATTATAAAAGAGAGGAGCAAAAATAAATAAATAAATATTTATTTATTTAATGCATTCATCCGATAAAAAGAACTTCGTACGTACAATTTTACAGCCAAAACTCTCGTGATCTAGTGATCGGATCTGCATTTTTTAAAGTATGTAAGAAGCGAATTGTGGGTTTACTAATTCCCCAAGTTCCTATTGGCCGAACACAAACTTTGTCCCTCATTGAATGAAATAAATCATTAACCATAGCTGCCACAACAAATTGGACCGGCTAATACCCGAGGATCTTCAAATTTTTGGCCCACATTATAAAATTTTTTACTAATTTCCGGCCGGAATTAACTTTTTAATTATTTCATTACAAAAAATAGAAATTAAGATCGCATTGTGATAAAATTGGCTCAGGAACAATTTTCACTTAATGGGCGGCTATGATTTCATTAGTAAAATTATGGGTAATTCCGGCCTAATTTTTTGACCGTCGCTCTTAGCCAATCAAAATCGAGAATCTGCCGGTCCAATTTTGTTGCGGTAGCTATGGTTAATAAATAAATCACTGATCGGATGGCTTAAAAATGGATAAAAGTATGTAAATGTTTATTTAAACATTTCTTACTCATTAATACTAGTTCTCTAGCTCTTCACAATCGAATAAAAAACACTTCGGAAGCTCAGTTTTTCTTGACAAACTGAAATAAACAAATATGAGAGGACAGCTAGTAGGAACTAAAAGTTTGGCTTTATTTTTTTTATTATTTATTTTTTTATCTTTCAAATTATTTTATTTTTTTTAAAATTATTGTATCTGCCGAAATAGCGCATAGGGAGTTTTTCAAATTTCAGCCTGAATTAAGCTTAGTTTAGGCCGAAATTCGAAACTACATCCCATCACGTTATTTCGTGGTTATACGGTGTTTTTTAATTTTACTTTTTTTATATGTTCATTTTACCAGGGGACATAGGGAGGGGTGATGTTAACCGAAAAATTAACTTCAAACGGCCTAATTACTGTTCTCATAATAACTATGAGCGTTCTCAATTTGCTGTTTGTGTTCTCATTTATGCTCACTAAAAAAAAAAAAAAAGCCACATACTAACTACCTAATAATCAGGGTCGGTACGGACCGGTCAATGGTCAAGCTTGACCAGACCAGTTTGACCAATTTGACC